ACTTCATCTAAAACTAATGATGTAATGTATGGGGATTAACATAAGAATAAAAAAATAAAAAATAAAATAAAATAAAAATAAATAAAGGTGGCAAGATCCTCTTATTGCTTCTAAGTCTTTATACAGTGCAATTGAAATTGCTGCTCTGTGTGACAGTAACCAATTCTAGGTATTCTGCTTTTTAATGCACATATTTTTTCAAGTGACAGTGATACAGGGTCTTTGTGTGTTATCCCACATGACTACTTTAAATGATAGTTACAGCACTTTTTAGCCACTCGTTCTAGTGATCCCTTTGTAATGATAATGATTCGCAGAGAACTTTGCAGCCTCTGTAAGCAAGCCACATGATTTTTTAAAGAAACAAAATAATTCATTCACTAAACAGCTTTTTCTGGAAAGAATAGTTATTTGGCTGAATGCAAAGTTTCCCTCCTCTGCAAATTAATGTGTGTGTGTGTGTGTGTGTGTGTGTGTAGTCCAGATGGATATCAGCCATTGTTATCAATTAACCAAAAATAGGCATTGGGACAGGTTTCGTAAATAGTGTATCTGTACTGGATGTCTGTGGGGATTTGAGGAGGATTATCTCTCCAGCATCCATTGCCTTCCTGTTTTGTGGGAATTTCCCCAGTGTGTGTATTTGTAGCCTGGTCTTCTCTCCCCCCGCATGTCACAGGGCAGTCCCATGAGCTAGGCTGGGCCAGTCGGAAGCTCCAGCTGATTTTGTGCCCTTGAGCCAGCAGCGCAAAGAGGAAGCTTCGGTGCACATCTTCCCTGGGAGTGGTGGGGCAAGGGGTGATGGCGGGTACAGAGTGGTGACGGTCACAGCACTAGCGTCCATCTGTGATGGTGTTTCAACAGGTTTGGGACCCTCTGCAGTTACCAGTATTCATTAAAAAAGTATTTGTTGAGAGCTGGTTTTGAGCCAGCCACTGTTTTAAAGCGAGAGATACAGAAGTGAATAGAACAGATATCGTTCTTGGGGTGTAAAAATAGTCACAAATTCCCCTCCTTGAATCCAGGATCCTGCAAAGCAGTGTTACAGGTCCTTTGAACCACAGGCAGAGTCTGTTTCTCTACTCCTTGAATCTGAGCTGGCTGATGGCACTGTCACAAATGTGACTCAGGGAGATGAAAATCAGGTGTGCATTGGCACCCTGACTGCTGTAGGAGGAACCCAGAGCTAGACAGTGAGAGGGGAGGGGTTCACATGGAAAAGAAACCAGATGGCCCAGCCACAAACCGGCCAGCTCTCTGCGAACCCAGTTAATGAATGCAGGCGTGTGCGTGAGCTTTAGTTGAGAACAAACCTGCCCCAGACTGGAGGACCGCTCAGCTGAGCCCAGTCCGAATTGCCAGACTGTAGAGTTAGGGATTAAATAACTGGCTACTGCTTTTAGCCGCTGGGTTTTGGTGTAGTTCATTATGCGGCACGAGTCCACCGACACATTCTCTGCCCTCGTGGTGCTTACATTCTAGTGGGAGTAGCTGGTCTGTAAACATGTACATCATATTTTCAGCTGGTGGAAACTGCTAGGAGAATTTTAAAAAGCGAGAACAAGGGACTAGAACGGTCAAGGAAGTGTTTTCTGAACAAAATACATGAATGGAGGGAGGGACTGAACTTGTACACCCCTGGAAAGTCACTATTTCAGAGACAGGATGGTAGGTGCCAAGGGCCTGTGGCTGGAACATGTTTGGTACATGTGGAAAGGTGAGAATGCCAGGTGTGAGTCGAGAGAGAAGGAAATGAGCCAGGGGCCAGTAATCACGCAGATGACACAACAATGAATCCATGTTTTCAGAGTGAAAGGATCTGCCTAGACACACTGTGTGCCTGAGTAGCACTTGTGCTTGACCAACTCAGAGAGAGGAAATGACCAGGAAGGCAAAGTGAGCAGGTCAGGCCATCTGGAAGAGTACAGAAGTGGCATTTGGAAAGGGCGGGGGGAACACTAAAGCCATTGAGAAAAAGCCAATACAAAAATGGACAAATAAGTTTATTTTCATATTGTTAGCTCTTCGCTCCCTCTCTATAAATCCTCAACTTTGTGGACTTTCTTTTTTCCAGGAAAATCCCATGTTAGCCACCCTTGACTGACATGCTTGCACACCCCCCCCCCGCCTTATCAGTGATAGGTATATAATAAGGGACACTATTTTTAATTTTAGCTCAGTCGTGGGCGCCTGGGTGGCTCAGTTGGTTAAGCAACTGCCTTTGGCTCAGGTCATGATCCTGGAGTCCCGGGATCGAGTCCCACATCAGGCTCCCTGCTTGGCAGGGAGTCTGCTTCTCCCTCTGACCCTCCTCCCTCTCATGCTCTCTGTCTCTCATCGTCTCTCTCGCAAATAAATAAAATCTTAAAAAAAAAATTTAATTTTAGCTTAGTCATAAGGTAATTAGGAAGATACACCTGTTACATAAAAGAATCAATCCTTTGATTCACTCTAAAAACCGAAAGGTTTTTTTCTTATCCAAGCCATTGCCCTTCTAACGTGACAGATTGTACTGAGCTTTCTGCATCGTGTCAAGTTACAAATGAACAGTACAGTATGCACGACAACGAGTTCATGCGTGTCCGAAGTTCGATTCTGTGTGGTTGGCCGAGAACACCTCAAGAAGGAAACCTGATACCATCTAGTTGTGTGGCATGGTAATTTGCTAAAGAATATTCTAAAATGGTTGGTCCACTTTGACCATTCCCTGCTGGTAGGAGACATTCAGCATCAGGTGGCAAGTGAGGGCCAGAGAGAAGTGTGTCCAAAGTGATGTCTAAGAAAGCGTGCCAAGGGTCCGAGCCAGTGACGTGTGTCCAACCACGGTGGCAAAGCCGAAAAGAGCCAGAGTAGGTATCTGAACCGAAATGTGAGAGCCACAGGATTGGGCTTTTCCATGGGAAAACCATAATGGGGGAACAAACACTGGGTCTAAGGATAGTCTGAGGCAAATGGGGGCCTGTAAATAGGTCCCTCTATTCTTGGTGCCTAGACAGATAAGGTATAAAGAAGGAGCTGGAGGCCAAGGGATGTTTTTCCAGGGAAGAAGATGTGAATGTGGATATAGATGAGCTGGGGTCTCTCCTGTCTGAGGATTATTCAAGGGGAAGAGCTCGTGGAGATGCAGCAGAGAATGTCTAGACTCACAGTCCCCACTGGAGAGCACGCCTGGGACAGCTCTGGCAGGCGGGATGGCTGTGGACACCCCGTGATCGTGCCCCGGGTGCCGGAGGTCTATGACCGTGCGTATGGTATCAGCTTACAAAGCTTCCAGGCACTGCTGTCCAGTAGAATTTCTGTGATGCCGGAAATGCGCTTTCTGCTTGGTAGCCCCAGTGTGGCTAGTGAGCCTTGAAATGTGGCTCCTGTGTCTGAGGAGCTGCATTTTAAATTTGATTTAATTTTAATTAATTCAGTTACAAATTTGAATATGAAAACCCACATGCAGCTAGTGGCTACAAACCCTATTGAACAGCCCACTCTGGAACACTGGCCTTCAAGGCCTTGGTCCCGGATCTGGGGATGGGAATATTATGGGGGGTCAGGGGCCCCGTGAATGCAGAGACTTGTTTGGTTTTTTTTCTAAGACCTAAAACAAACCCTGTCACAGGGGATGTGCCTAATAAACAGTTGTTGAATGTGTTAATTAATGAGAGAGGAGGACAATGAATCACACCTAACACTCTTCGATCAATATTCATTTACAAGGTTTTGCCCCATGACCACCATCTTGGTACCTCTTCAGACGGTGGCTTCTAGATCTGGGATGACTGTGTCCAACCTTCTCTTTGAAAGCCCCTGGCTAAGGACAGGACCAAGACAGAGAGTCTCCATCCTGATGGTCTTCAAATCATTCTCTCACCTCTGCTTTAGTTGTTCCATATTATAATATTATAAAAGGTACTAATCTTTATAGAGAAAATGTCACTGAAGAACTAAGCTCATATGTTGTAAATTCTCTCCCCTTCAGAGAACTATGATCCAGTTTTCCACCCAAAGGCCTCTACAAGTGCCATTGATTAAGAACCCACTTTGTGTAGTGATGAGCACCGGCTGTTCTTTTTTTTAAAAATTTTTTTATTAACATAATGTGTTATTTGTTTCAGGGGTACAGGTCTGTGATTCATCAGTCTTACACAATTCACAGCACTCACCATAGTACCTACCCTCTCCAATGTCCATCATCCAGCCACCCCATCCCTCCCACCCCCCTCCACTCCAGCAACCCTCAGTTTGTTTCCTGAGAGTAAGAGTCTCTTATGGTTTGTCTCACTCTCTGGTTTCATCTTGTTTCACTTTTCCCTCCCTTCCCCTATGATCCTCTGTCTTGTTTCTCAAAA